TGAGGAAACTTTTGGCAAATGTAAGAAAAGCAGTTTCCGTTTTTATCAAGTGATTTAACAAACTGTTTCATGATCCCCAGTTTTATATGTAATGGCGGAAGGATAATTCTGTCACAAGGTACTAGGGAATTGTGGGCTATATTTTGCTTCCCAGGCGTCATATTTTCTCTCAAGGTCCAGTTTTTTTTTACCCAATGTTCTTGTTTAGCTCTGCTGTCCCAAAGACATATAAAACAGGGAAACTTAGGGCCGGTTTTTCAATCGTTGGTTAAGTTTATCTTACGGTTAATTTCCTTAGATACAATTGTTAACACAATAGTATCTAAGAAAGTTAACCGTAAGATAAACTTAACCAACGATTAAAAAACCGGCCCTTAGTGTAACCACTTTGTTGACGGAGAAGAATGTTCACCATTTTTAAATCAACACAAATTTGCCACTTGTGGTCATTGTATTTTATTTTATTCAAGACTAATAAGATGTTACAATATTCTTCCTTTAACTTTTTACTGTGAGCAATAGGCACTCCAGCGTATTTATTTCCGTTATGTAACAGAATGCATTTTAGGCTACGTTTTGAACTGTCAATGAATAAACGCCATTCACTTGGTTCATATTGTTTTAAACCCATTTTTATTAACAAGTTCTTAATATCTGAACAAAAAACAATATTGCCTTCTTCGGAAAAATAACTACGTAATTCTTTTTCTCTTTCACGATAAAAAGTAATTTTAGTGCCTGAAGAAAGCGAATTTTTTTCTTTCAGTCTTGATGCCAACAATTCTGAAGCTTGTTTAGAAATATTTAAATCTCTTACAAGATCATCTAACTCGTTTTGTGAAAAGCGTTTTGGCTCGTTTAATAAATCTTCAAAATCAGTATCATTTTCTGATGAGCTTGGTTCTTCATTGTCTTGTACTAAGGGCTCAGATATATTTTTAGGAACTAAACAGTCAGGTGAATATTTCACTGGACGCTGAACAGAAGTAGTACTTGGGTACTGCCATTTAGCTCGATTTTTAGCGTTTATGCCGTTTATGTTGACACTACAAAAGTAACAGTCATCGAGATGATTTTGTGGTTCTTGCCAAATGGTTGGTGTTTTAAGTTTAAAAGCACTTCTTTTGCCACTTTTCCACAATCTTAAATATTCAACACACGATTTGCAAACACAATCAGGAGCCCAAGACTTGTCATTTTTATCCAAAAACATCCCAAAATACAGAAAATAAGTATTTTTAACGAACTCTGATATACATTTTCTAAAATCGTTGAACACATATTCTCCACATATGTAGCAAAAATGATTTGGGTTGTTTAAACTACATCTACTTGAACTACTCATGTTACAGAAACTTTGGTATTAGTCTTAACACTTTGAAATACGCACGTTATCAACGAATAAATACGCATAAATGAACAAATTAAAAAAAAACTGAGCAACTTGAGCTGCACAAAAACTTGTAAGGTCAGGTTTGAAAAAAACACATCATAAGTAAACATTATCAACAAAAAATTTCACGGCAACAGACAAAAAGTTTAATTTTGTAAACTAGTGTTATACTTCACACGTTTTTATTTAATCGAAATTATATTTCTATTCTAAAATAAACATATTTTAACACTATCGCCATCTTGTAGCTATCACAGTAACCAATAAAATAAATACAGATTCCTTCTTTAGGTTTGTTTTGGTTATAAAATTCTGAACTGTTTAAAGAACAAATCTGTGGTTATTTACGCAATATTTTGTTTATTCTTTTTCTATGAGTTTGTCTATTTTATGATTTGTAAGTGGTTTATTCTGTGGGTTTAGTTAATTGAACTTGGTGATTTATGTGAATTTAGTCATTATGGATATTACGGTGAGAAATTGTTGACCTTCACGTGGTTCTTGCTGAACAATAAAATATTAATTAGGCAAAAATGAGGTTTATTTAAAATAAACGTCATTTTTACAATAAAATATATTTCATTGACAAAGTAGAGGATTCCTTCCCCACCACAGTCTAAGTTTTTTACTTAGTTTTAAGTATAGGTTGTGAACTGCGACGTCAGTTTTTTTAAGTTGGGTTTAAAAAAATTTCTTCGCCTTTAAGAGGCCTATTCCCTTTCTTGCTGTTCGTTAACATCGATTTCTTAACATGTATGTTCACCCAACGACAACCCAAACATCACCTATGTTTAAGGCTATTCCATTTCTCATATGTTGAGAGTCTTGACCTTGAATCTTTCTGAACAGCGATAAATGTTTCTAGGACAGAGAGTATATTAGTTTTATAACCTAAAAGTCGCAGATCGTAAACTAAAATTGTGTTAGATAATTATTTTAAAAATCATTGGTGATATTTAATATATTAAATGAACTTAAAAACAACTTCTGAATCTAATCTACAAATTCTGAAAATACTGGGGAAAAGACGTTTTATGCTGAACTAGCGAAAGCACATATCTTCTGGCGTCCATTCTTTTATGGAAAAGGGTAATCATAAAATATCTTAAAATAATTATTTGTTACTTATTTTTACACACTTTTAGTGTATTGAAAATGGCAGTTTTCTACGCATTTCTCTCATGGAGACTGGCAATGTCGGGGAGCCAATAAAACAACTTAATGACTTTAAGGATAAATTAAAATTACTAGCGCTAATAGAGGAAGCGCTGTGAAAGTTAGTGGTGGAGGGTAAGGTGGAGGTAATACCATCGTTGGAACTCTTCATTGACCAGCCTTTAAGGTCGGGTGGAAGGGCCCCTTCTACAACAGGGAGGCATAAAGAGAAATTCCAACTCAAACTCTGACGAGTAGTGAAGGTGTAGGGTTTTACAAGGTATTGATAAAACCTAAAAGATTTTAAAATTAAACCATAAAATTTTAGCTCCCATGTGAAGAAAAATAGTTTTTAGATGCATATTTTTTTGTATTTTATTAGTTATACTTTTCTTTGACTAATATTTTGTCTATATTTTTGAGTAATAATATTACATAGGTATTTTATATTTGTTGTATTTTTTTAATAAAATATATTTTTCCAAGTTATTTTTTATTCTACCAATATATATATATATATAGTTTTAGAGGTCGTTTTTAGACCCTCTGCCCCCCTTGTAACATATAAGTCTTGACCTCCCTCCCCCTAAATTCTCCCTTCACACTCAGATTTTTTTAATTTTCTGTTTTTTTCTAAATAAATATTATAATAAAATTAATATTAATTATATTTAAAAAATCAGTAAAGCAAAATTTGTATTCTGGTATTATAATTAGGAAATACATTTTAATAATTAAAAAACAAATCATAAACATATTTTTAAAATTACCAAAAAATATATTTTTTTTTGTTTGGTGTGAAACCTATCGAAACATGCAACGAAGACTATTGTAACTCAGTTTTGATTGTAGACTAGAGTAACTCAACTTAATATAGTTTTTTCCTGTAGGAATGTGGATTATTACACTTACTATACAGGGAAGTTGTTCACTGGTTGCCTATCGTTTCATGTCTGAGTTACTGTAATCTTCCACCAAATAGAGCTCAAAACCCACGTTTTTTGAGTTACTATAGTCTTCGTTGCATGGGTCGATATGTAGTTCATAAACATGCATGTTTAGCGAAAGGGAATAGGCCTCTAAATGAGGGCGAAACCCTGCCTCTGCCTCACCATGGGCCGCCACTGCAATTGACGTATATTTAAATATACGTCAATTTTAAACGTCGCAGGTACGTTTTGACCTAATTATGATGTGACATATGCACGTCTCCCAATCGTCATTAAGACGTCTTTCAAAGACGTCAACACGTTAACAAAATGACTAAAATCCGTCGTCTTTGGGACGTCTTTCTGTTTGCTGGGTAAGTGTTTCTTTGGACACTGAACTTAAGTGTAAAAACAAAAAATTCTTTTGACAAGGGTTTTGACACATAATTATATATTTTTTTCTTTAATGTTTATTAACGAGAACTATTACATCACATTTAATTCAAATACTATAATTAAACATTGTAAAATGTTGTACAATATAATATATTATATTACATAAAATTTATACCCACACATGTAAAGAAAAGGAAAACAAAATTATTCTATTTATTAATATTAAAAATAAAAAACATCAGGTTAAATAAGAATTTCAGTTAAATTTTGTATTTCTGTATTTTTAAGTTTGTAAATTTTGCTTTATTTTTAAAATCATTATTTTAAACAATAAAAAGGATTGTTTGAATAATGAGTCTACAAATTTTAGATTTGTATTAAAACCTCAGCGTGAGGGAGGTGGAAATAACATATATGGAACAGAAATAAAAGATGCTTTAATAAAAATGAAAGATTCGAAAGAACGTAGTGCTTGGATATTAATGGATAAAATTAATCCGCCAGTAACAAAGGGATATATAATTAGGCCCGGAGGTCCCCAAGTTCCTGCCATTGTTGATATGATTTCAGAACTAGGCATCTTTGGAATTATAATTGGGTAATTAATTAAGTATATACATTTTTAATAAACTTTAATTTATCTAGGTACTCTTATTGCATAATATTGAGTTTTTCCGTATACAATGATAAACAAAATAAATTCCCTAATTAATTACAAATACAACGGGAATACTGAATATTCACGTTGTTAGGCATCAGTTGTTGGCCGATTTCAATATTCACTGTGATTTGAACCAATCGGGTTTTACATTAAGAAAGGCGACTATAATATATTATATATATTATCTAAATCTGGTAAAAAGTGAGGTTTACCATCTGACAGATGTTAGATTTTATTGTTTTATTTTTGAAATCATGTAATTATCTAGTTATAGGAATAGATAAAGTATAGTATTATACTCGAGATTATGCGCATTATTCACTCGACTGCGACCTGAGACGCAAACCTTTTCTATAATAATATAATACTATGTACTATGTACTAAATATTGTTTATAGTAGTGCAATTCTTTTATTTATTAAAATATATTTTTTGTAACCAATTATTATGAAATATATATTTTTAGGGACTCACAAAAAATATTAGTTAACAGGCAGGTTGGTCACATGTTAAGAACAAAACTGTCAACATCAAATGAAGGTGGAGTAGCTGCTGGGGCTGGTGCCTTGGATAGTCCATATTTAGTGGAATAATTTCATATTTTATATATTTGTTTAAATTTATACAAATAAATATATTTTAATAAACATATTTGGGATATTCTGAATTTATTTTTTCCCAAGCTAAACGTTTGCATTTATTCAGAATATATTTGGTAAACGCATTACGCATTTTATATTAATGTAAATTGTAATTAAAAGCGATGATTCAAAATTTTTTAATATACAAAGTATCCAGAATCATCTCTTGTAGTTTCTAAAAAAAATATGCCCTAAAAATTCTTCTTCTCTGACTTGATTTTGTCATATTTTCATAAAAACATTATCCTTAATGGAATTATTAAGCCGGATTCCAATCAACACCGGCATATATGAAACTTTTCAATAATTTAAAAGAAAATGCCAGTTCACTTATTCCGCGAGACCGATTCTGCACGTTGACCTAACTTGTATAACATTTCAGTATGACGGTTTTGAGGATTTAGGATAATTGTCATAAAGAAAGTTTGGAAGTAACCAGTAACTTATACTTTTTGCCAAAGTACCAAAAAAGATGAACTTGGTGCTAAAAACAGTAATTTTGGAAATCCAGAAAACTGGCCTACAAGTTGTTGCTACAGTTAGCGTTAACTAAGTCGGCAGCCATAATCTACTTACATAGATAATTTAAATAAAAAAGGGCTTTTTACGCGGCCCTCATCTACATGAGAAATAACTTAGTGTTTAAACACTTGATATGAGAAATTGATGGAATCAAATAAGTGTCCAATTGGGATCATATTATCCAAGCCTATGAGTATGACAATTCTTTAGGAGACCTCAGGTTAATGCTTAGGCTAGTGGACTGTCAAAATTAAAGTGGTATATGCGACAGGTATTGAGCTACTCCGTCGCTTCTTTTATCGCATTACGGTTAAGGGCTCTGGTAAGAGGTATTTGAAAGGAAATGAAACAAACTGTTAATTTTACTAAGTTTATTACAAAAATTAATATTTTATTCGACTTGAAAAGAAAATTTTGTTTCCCACCACTATTTATTAACCTGCTCTTTTGTCGACAAAGGTACATAGCTTATATGATATGAAGATTATCTATAAATAATTATTGAGCAAAAGAAATTACAGAACTTAGTTAAAATGAAAATTAGAACCAAGATTTAAATCAAACTTAAAATTACCCTGCTAAAAAAGTCGGGTGATTGCGGGCGTAAATTCCGAATTAAATATGCGTTAAAACCGGGTGATAGAGAGTGAAAACCTTATCCGTCCATAAGCGAACGCCTGCTTCACTTCATCCGCGAAGGCCCAGTTATACCTGTCTTTAGTGTTTAGGTTAGTGCACCCCCGCAATCATCTGCAATCACTCGCGATCGCCGTCATTTAGTTTTATCTACTTTCGCCCGGTTTCGATGTTGGATTTCATCTGAAAACGTCTGCTTTTATCCGCAAACGTCTGATTTCATCCGCGAACGTCTGATTTCACCTGCATACGTCTGTTTTCACCCGCAAACGTCTGCTTTCACCTGCGAACGTCGACTTTCATCCGGTTTCACCCGAAAACGTCTGCTTCGTCCGCGAACACCTGGTTATACCTGTCTTTCGACAGTTGCACACCTGCAATCATCCGCGATCGCCGGCATTCAGTTTTATCTACTTTTGCCCGGTTTCATCCGTCCTCGAACGTCTGCTTTCATCCGCAAACATCTGCTTTTACCTGCGTATGTCTGTTTTCACCCGTAAACGTCTGATTTTGCCCGTTTTCACCCGCAAACGTCTGCTTTCACCTGCGAACGTCTGCTTTCACCCGAAACCGTCTGCTTTTACCTGCGTACGCCTGTTTTTATCCGCAAACGTCTGTTTTTGCCCGTTTTCAACCGCAAACGTCTGCTTTCGTCCGATTTTATCCGCGATTGCCTGCATTTCGTTTGTCTGTTTTCGTCCGGTTTTATACTTTTATTATAGATCTCGAGGGTCTTCTAAAAAAATATTTTATAATTAGAAAAAAAACTTTTATGAAATTAGGTCCTTTAAAGCTTCCTTTGGTAGATTGTGGTGTTAAAATTTATTTATACAGTAGTTCAGCAATCTTATTAAAATTTGAAATATAAAATAAATTTAAAAATAAATAATATTGGTTGAGCAGGGGCGTAAGCAAAGAGATGTTTTAAAGAAAATTCCACACCTGTAATTTTAAACCAATCAAAACGTGTATTTTTGACAGATCATCATGGCAACGGATGAATTTTAGTGGAATTTTTTTCCTCGTGGGTACCCATTGGGTATACCCAACCCAACAGCGAATTATACTGGAATTTTTTTGACGTTTATAAGGACAGAATATTTTTTTGACAATCTGGTTTTTATTTGTTTACATGATAATTTTGATACATTTCAATTAAGTACAAAGTTAAGATGTTTTCTATATTCTTTGGACACATCCTTTCTTCTTAATGGCGAAAATGCACGACTTTGAATGGAATGAATTATATGTCTATGTCTAATGAAATATACACACATCAACACGGTCTAGGGATATTCTAAAAATACTGTTTAAATTATTCATTTATCAATTTTTCAGCTTTAAATGTAAATTAGTTTTTTATTTATAAATAGAATAAATCAAATATATTAACTATCACGCAGAATTATTAAGAAAAAATCTAAAAAATTAAAAAAATACTTTGTTGTTTTTACATTTGTTTTATTTTTGTTGTTTTTGCAAATGTTTTATTTAAGTTTGGCTAAAAATTGTTCAATACATGTTTAGGTAGTTTAAAATTACCACGGAGAGAAGACATTTGACCGAAGAGCAAATGCTAAGAGCAGTTGGAATGTTAGAAGTTGGTACAAATCAAAATCATGTATTGAATTTGTTAGACACCAGTCAGAGTGTTTTAAGTAGGCTTTAGCAACGTAATACAGGTAGTGTACTCGTAAACGAACGACATTTGGGGCCACAACGTGCCACAACACAAAATCAAGACAGATTTTTGGTTTTACGTGCCCGAAGAAATGTGACAGCAAGAGCATCCGAGTTGGTTTCTGAGCTGCAATTCACTTATAATGTTATTGTGTGCTCAAACTGTTAAGCCTGAATTATAGATTGCCTTCCTTCCTTCCTTACTTCCTCCCGTAGAAGATGAACGTAATTGTCACAATTAACATTTCCCGTGTGGGAATTTTTAATACTTTGTAATAATATTTTGCAATTATAGTAATAAAAAAAATAAAATATTTTCTTAACAAAATCATATTTTCAAGTTATTTTAATATTTTAAAGTATCAATAATTGTTAAGTTTAATTAAAATTAATAACGGGCAAAGTTAATGGTGACAATTACGTCAAAAATGTTTATTTAAATCGTAGTGACAGTTATAAATTCCCGTACCGTAAGGACGGCATTCCTTCCTTCCGTAGAAATTTTTAAGTTTTATCTTTCACCGTAAAGGTCTTTGACATGACCAATCACAGTGCTTGTTATGGACATGCGCTGTAGGGTGACAGCACGTAGGTACAAAATATTTAAAATACATGATTGTTTAGTATTATTTTAGATAGGTGTTCAGTTTATTAAATAATTTGTGTCTCTAAATAGGATATTTAGATATTATTTATGATCAATGTCTTTCATTTTTAGAAAAGTTGCTTTGTAAAACCCCGTAGTTTCCCGGTCTTGGTAAAGTGGGCGAGTCTTAGAACGTCTTGTTCGATGTTTTTTTTCATTATACTACCCTACTATGGAGAAAGGCAGTGACAAATGCGTTTTCTTGTGCTATGATAAAGCTATGGACATTTTGTATCTTAATTCAACAAAGAAATGCAGTAAACTATCTTTTAAGTTAAATAAATCAGTTAAATACCTACTGCTTTTTATAAAAATGTAGTTTATGCTAATTTCCCATAAATTTCTTGTTTAGCAGTTACTGCCTTTTTCCATAGTTCGACAGTATACAATAAGCTCCTGGGCAATTAAAATTGTGATCACTGCACTAATATATAAATGATTATCTTTCATATTTACACACAATGAGTAAAACGCAGAATATAAACAAAAATAAATGTCAACCATTTTAGGTGTCATCGCGCATGGTTACGAAATTTTACACGGAAATCTATAAATTGACTTTTTACAAGACGCACAAATTGTACGGGCACGACTACGGGAGGAAGGAAGGAAGGCAATCTATAATTCAGGCTTTAGACGTCGCCAATTTACATGCTCGAAGACCTCTGAGAGTTTCACCGGTTTCGCCGGAAATGATACCAACTTTCGATTTTTAAATGGAATGCCCTATATAGTTTTACATATTCGGAATCCTGAGGAAATTCTGAGTCAGACAGCATCTTCAAATTGACCTTTTGACGTTTCGTCATCAGAAAATGTATCATCATAAAGATCAATCTAGAGTGATTTGAACTATCTTATTTTCTTCTAATGGATTCACACAATGTCGGAAAAATGGAACTTTCCTTAGAAAGTTGTTATTCAGATAGTCCCAGCAGTCTACACTTGTCAAAATTCGTTTTTCTCAAATAGTTCAAAGCACTCTAGATTGATCTTTATGATGATGCCTTTTTTCATGACGAAACGTCGAAAGGTCAATTTGAGGATGCTGTCTGACTCAGAATTTTCTCAGGATTCCAAATATGTAAAAATATATAGGGCATTCCATTTAAAAATCGAAAGTTGGTATCATTTCCGGCGAAACCGGAAGTTCAAAAAATTCATTTTGTACTCTTATAAGTGGCATTTTATATCCTAATTAACCATGCTAAATTTCATGTGTCTATCTTTATAAATAAAAAAGTTACAGGGGTGTGCCTATTCTCAGATACACCCGGTATACTATAGTACGCGGTGCCCTTCATACAATGTTCACCAATTGACTAAAATCTTCGCCTTTGGTTAATTCATCAAGTTCTTTTATTTGTGTGAAAGCTATAATTATTGTTTAATTTTAAGCTCGATTTAAAATTGTCTTTAACAGCAGTCGGATGTCCTGCTTGTTGAAGGAGAAAATTTAAACATAAAA